GCCCGGCTCCCGCCCCGCCCCTCCACCCCCTCCGCCTCCCCCACTCCCCTTCCACCCCACCCGCCACCCACACTCCGCTCCGCAGCCGGGCCCCGAGCGAGCTCCATGCGGCCGGCCGGGAGCCCGGGGCTCCTGGGTTCAAAGGGCCGCGGCCCGCCGGGGATGCCCTCCTCGCTGGTGCCCCGGGGGGGCAGAAGCGGACTGCAGGGCGGTGGGACCGGCCCGGGCCACGGTAGGAAACGCGAAACCTTCCCTAAGTAGAGCTGGTCCCGGGGGAGGGCGCCGGGGAGTTCGGATCCCCGAGGGACCTTTTTGCCAAGACCCAGCGGAGGCCGCGCCCAGGCCGCAGACTGCGCCTAGGCGGCCCCGGTGGGCTCCCTGAGCCCCAGCGGGCCGTCCCAGGCAGGTGTGCAAGTGTGTGCACGACCGCGGGCGGGGGCGCGGAGCAGGCCTGGCGCTCCGCCACACCCCAGGGTGATGACCGGGTCCCCACTCCCCTTCAAGCGGGGTGGCTCCTAGAAAAGCCTTTAATCTGATATTAAGCGTTTGCCGAAGTTTGATTCTTTCCAAAGGAGAGCTCGTCACTTTGGCTGTAAACATAATTAATAGTTATTAACATGCAAAAAAAAACCCTTTGTGGTATTTAGAAGGCTTTTGCTCTCTCGCTAGCTCACACTCTGAAGCGTGGGAAGAACCTTGAATTCTGAAAATATCCTGATTAGATTATTAGGCCTGATTCTATGTGACCCCCCTCTTCCTTTAATGAAATTCCTCTCTTTTCTCCCTTCCTCTGTCTCTCTTGTTCTCTCTCTCTCCTTCTCCCCGTCTCAATCTCCTCTAATCCAGGAGTCATTAGCAACACCCTCTGGCTACATGTTTTGCATCAGTGAAACATTGTGACATAGTTGTAATACAAACTCTGCCGCCTTGCACTGCATCTTGCGGTAGGAAGTGTAATAGCAATAAAAGTCATTTTTCATCTCCAGGCATTATTCGGCGGACCCCCCCACCCCGAAAATCTGAATATGAGAAGTGGAGAAGGTGGAGGAGAGAGAAATGAAAGGAGGGAAGAGAAAGAGCGAGGCAAGGAAGGGGAGAGAGAGAGAGAAGAAAAACCCTTTCAATTTAGAGACTTCTCAAAACTATAAGCACATCGATTCAAATATATCATTTTCTCTGACCTCCCCTCCTCTGTTTCTGTCCCCGGTCTCTATGGTTGTTCCTCAGTGGACCCCTGGACCCTCTCAGGAATTGCCTCTTAGTTTCCAGGATCTCTCAGCAACTCCCTTCTCCCCTGCAGCCTAGCATCCCTTCAGGTGAGAAAGCCCCCAGGCTCCCAGGGGCGGGGTCACCCCTTATTAAACTGGCTGGGATGAGGAATACTCGCTCAAGTCCTGTTAGGAAACTGGGGCCTCTTTCCTGTACAATCTCTTAGAAATCTTTCCTACCCTGATGGAGAAGGGACAAACCACCCAGAACGCCAACCCGGCTATTTTTCCTGGGGCAGCCCTATAATTTCTGAGCAAGGGCTCTCTGAGAGCCTGCAAATCTGCAGTAAGGAGTGCTAGTTAGAGACAGAAGGAGCTCTCCTCCATTGCCTGCTTCCCCTTTGAGAGCTCACCCTGCCGACTCAGGGAGGGCAAAATTTCTAGAAGGGTCTCTATGCTGGGTTTGCTCAGACAGGGAAATGCAGAAGGGCTTATACACTGCCCTATGCACACTTTCCCCCTACCCTGTCGTTTCCAGTTCAGCCATCATTATATGTAGGATCCACTGAGCTCTTTAAACAAAAGCAAAAACAAACTTGCAGTCAAAACCACATTAGAAAAAAAAGGTTCTGTACCTACCTCAAAACAAAGAAACCACACAAATGCTCACAGGACCACAAGACAGACACTACTTTTATCACCATGTTTGCAATCTTCACAGGAAAAGATCTTGTTTTGTGAAATTTGTTTTTACTTAGAACACCTATCTCTGGGCAGTGTGCTTTGAAAATAAATTGAACAAATCCACATATAAGTGAGTTGAATTCCTGTATAGTTTCAGTCGTGTGGGCTTAAGAGTGGGGCAAAACTCTGAAGCTACCAACCGGATAAAATAGGGTCAAATGCCCGCCTGCACCTGGGAGAGAAATGCTGTGCGATTGATCTCTCGCCCTTGCGGTTTTCACCGGCCTGTAGGTGTGCAGGTTATAGGCCGTATGTTGTGGTTATTTTGTCAGCAGAACCGAAGGCTGCGGGGTACAGGGTCCCAGTGGGCTGGAGACAAACATGGCCGAGCCCCTCTGATGTCCATCTGATCAGAATGAGTGGGTTTCGGTAAAAATCGTAGTTGGGGAGGCATGAGTTCGTAAGCACCCGCCACATTGGGGGATATTTGCATGGGCCACAGGTGAGTGGCCGCAAACACTCGGCGGCCCGAACCCGTCGCCTCCGAGAAGACATCGCTCATTTATTTCATCTTTTCTATGAAAGCAGCGTCATAGTTTAGCCTTGGTGAAACTGTACCTATGTTTTTTTCTCTTTCTCCTGTTATTTTCCCCTTATCCCAGTGCAGTCATTGCGGGATAGGTCGGTCACACATAATGCGTTTTAACCGGTGGGATGGAGGCCTGTGCGTTTCGGCTTCTCTTAGGCTTTAGCTGAAGGAAAAACTCCGGTTACGGTCAAGTTAGGCTGCATGAGGCTGGGCGGCATGGCCGCGTAATTCCAGTTTCCGCAGCGAGGTGGCGCTCCAGGGTACGGCAGCGCGCCCGGCGGTC